GTGGCCCTGCTGAGCTTGGCCCTGGGCTGCGGCCCCGCTCGGGGGGGCCCAGGCAGGAAGGCCGTGCACGTGGGCGCCCTGTTCCCCATGAGCGGGGGGTGGCCGGGGGGCCAGGCCTGCCTGCCCGCCGTGCAGATGGCCCTGGAGGACGTCAACCGGCGCCCCGACATCCTGCCCGACTACGAGCTGAGGCTGATCCACCACGACAGCAAGGTGGGACACGGGGGAGTGGGGTGGGATGGGGTTTGGGGGGCACCAGGAGCGGGTTTGGGGTCACCAGGATGAGGTTTGAGGGCACCTGGATGAAGTTTGAGGGCACTGGGAGGGGGTTTGGGGGTACTGAGAGGGGGTGGGATGGGGTGGGATGGCATTTGGGTCACCAGGCGGAGGTTTGGGGTCACCAGGAGGCGGTTTGGGGTCATTGAGAGGTGATGGGATGGGGTTTGGGGGGCACCAGGCTGAGGTTTGGGGTTACCAGGAAAGGGTTTGGGGTCATGGAGATGGGGTGGGATGGGGTGGGATGAGGCTGAAGACAAGTTTTGGGGTCTACGATGAGGTTTGGGGTCACCAGGAGGGAGTTTGGGGTCACTGAGAGATGATGGAAGGAGGTGAAATGGGGTTGAGGTCACCAGGAGGCGACCAAACACCCCAAAATCCCCCCAATCTCCCCCAACCCCCCCCCCCCAAATACCCCAGAAACCCTCCCAAAATCCCCCAAGTCCCCCTCAGACCCCTCAACCCTCCCCAAAAGTCCCCCAAATCTCCCCAATCCCCCCAAAGCTCCCCTGAATCCCCCTAACCCCCCCAAATCCTGCCCAAATCCCCCCAAACCCTCTTCAAATCCCTCCTGTCTGTCTGTCCCTCTCGGACCCCCCTTTTGGACCCCCCCAACCTCCCCCCTTCCACTGGTCCTGCCCGGTTGCCACAGCAACAGGGATGCTGCTGGGTCTGCCACTGGGTTGCCATGGCAACCGCTCCCGGCTCTTTTTCCGGGACCATCCGTGTCCTGAATTATTCATGGACCCCCCCCAGGCCCATTCCCCCCCCCTCCGGGAACCCCCCAAATCCTCAGTTTGGGGGCTCAGGGACCCCCCAAAAAGGGTCTTTGGGGTGGAATTTGGGGGTGGGGGAGTTGGACTGGGAGGAACTGGAAGCTGCTGGGAGGTTGGACTGGGAGGAACTGGGAGCTGCTGGGGGGTGTCTCCAAACCCTTTGTGGTCCCCCCAAAAAACTGGGACGACCCTCCCCCCCCAAATCCTCAATGTGGGGGCTCAGGGACCCCCCTAAAAAAGGGTCTTTGGGGTGGAATTTGGGGCTGGGGGGTTGAACTGGGAGGAACTGGGAGTGTCCACTGGGTGGGACTGGGAGAGGGCGGTCTGGGGTGTCCCCCCCCAATTTGTCCCTGTGCCCCCCCAGTGTGACCCCGGCCAGGCCACCAAGTTCCTGTATGAGCTGCTCTACAACGACCCCATCAAGATCATCCTCATGCCCGGCTGCTCCAGCGTCTCCACACTTGTGGCCGAGGCCGCCCGGATGTGGAACCTCATCGTGGTGAGGGATGCCGGGAATGCCGGGAACACTGGGAATGTCAGGGTGGGGGGACAGCGGAGTTTGGGAACGCCGGGAACAGCGGGAACGCCAGGGCAGGGGGATACTGGAGTTTGAGGACACCATTCCCAGTATCTGATGGTCATATCCACCCGGAGCCATTCCCAGTATCCACATGGGGCCATCCCCAGTATCCCATGACCCATTCCCAGTACCCCATGGTCGTATCCACACGGGGCCATCCCCAGTATCCCATGATCCATTCCCAGTATCCCATGGTCGTATCCACATGGGACCGTTCCAGCTTTCCTCTGGCTCCAGGTGTCCCTGGTGTGGTCGGTGTGTGGGGGGGTCTCTTTGTTGCCTCCCCCGTGACCACATTCCCTCCCGGAATTCCCAGCTTTCCTACGGCTCCAGCTCCCCGGCCCTGTCCAACCGGCAGCGATTCCCGACCTTTTTCCGGACCCACCCGTCGGCGACGCTCCACAACCCCACGAGGGTGCAGCTCTTCAAGAAGTGGGGCTGGACCAAGATCGCCACCATCCAGCAGACCACCGAGGTCTTCACCTCGGTGAGGACCCCCCAGGACCCGCCCAGGACCCCCCACCATTCCCAGATCCGGGTCTGGCTCGGCCGTGTCCTGGAATTCCAACCCCTCCTTGGTGCCCCCCAACCCCCTCAAATCCCCCCCAGATTCACTCTGCTCTCTCTCCCCCCTCCCCTTGGGACCCCCCAAACCCCCTCAGACCTTGGACGACCTGGACCAGAGGGTGAAGGAGGCCGGGCTGGAGATCACCTTCCGCCAGAGCTTCTTCTCCGACCCCGCCGCTCCCGTCAGGAACCTCAAGGTGAGACCACCCAGGGGGGCGGTGGGGCGGTTTGGGGGGGTTGGGATGGGGATTTTGGGGGGCACAGAGGGAGTCTGGGGGGATCTGGGGCGGTTGGGGGTCAACCAAGGGAACCCGGCTGGGGGTGCAAGGATGGATCCAAGGATTTGGGGGGGATGGGGGGTTGTGAGACAGTTTGGGGGGTCAGCCCCGATGTGAATTCATGCAAATGAGGGTGGGAGGGGCCAGGGTGAGGACACACCCCCCAGCTGATGTGTCCCCCCAGCGCCAGGACGCCCGGATCATCGTGGGGCTCTTCTACGAGACCGAGGCCAGGAAAGTCTTCTGTGAGGTGAGAGGGAGGGAGAGAGGGAGGGATGGAGACCACCTGGAGATGGTGGATGGATGGAGGGATGGATGGGAGAGAAGAAGGGTGGATAGATGGATGATGGATGAATGGATGGAAGATGGATGCATGGATGGAGATGGTCAGCTGGAGATGATGGAGATGATGGAGATGGATGGATGGACCCCCCCAGGTGTACAAGGAGAAGCTCTATGGCAAGAAGTACGTGTGGTTCCTGATTGGCTGGTACGCCGACAACTGGTTCCGCATCAAGGACCCCGCCATCAACTGCACCGAGGCCGAGATGGCCGAGGCCGTGGAGGGACACGTCACCACCGAGATCGTGATGCTCAACCCCGAGAACACCAGGAGCATCTCCAACATGGTACCGGGGGGACCCCGACCCGCCCAGGGCCACCAAGGGGGTCCCATGGCCACCAAGGGGGTCAGTGACATACCCAGGGCCAAGGGCCACTAAGGGTGTCCCCAACCCACCATTTTGGGTGAAGGTGTCACCAAGGGCGTCCCCAACCCTCCCAGTTGGGTGGAGGTGCCACCAAGAACGTCCCCAACCCACCCCGACCCCACCCAACCCGCGGTGTCGACCCCCCGCAGACGTCGCAGGAGTTCATTGAGAAGCTCCAGAAGAGGCTGGGGAAGAACCCCGAGGAGACCGGGGGGTTCCAGGAGGCCCCCCTTGCCTACGACGCCATCTGGGCTTTGGCCTTGGCCCTCAACAAGACCTCGGCCGAGCTGGTCAAGAAGGGGTTGAGGTTGGAGGACTTCAACTACAACAACAAGAACATCACGGACGAGATCTACCGGGCCCTCAACTCCTCGGCCTTCGAGGGTGTCTCGGTGCGGCCCGGGGGGTCCCTGAGCTTCCCTGGGGGGTGGAGGGGCCACCAAGGGGAACCCCAACCCTCCCAGAGCCAAACCTTGTCCCACCCCCCCTCTGGGGACCCCCGGGCTGTCCCCAACCCCCCTCTCCGACCCCCCCAGGGCCACGTGGTGTTCGACGCCAGCGGGTCCCGCATGGCCTGGACCCTCATTGAGCAGCTCCAGGGTGAGGAGGAAACGGGGGCTGGGTGGTCTGGGGGGGGGGCAGGAGACCCCTCGGGGTCCCTGGTGACCCCCCCGAGGTGTCCCCAACACTGGGGTGTCCCCAGGAGGCGTCTACAAGAAGATCGGGTACTACGACAGCACCAAGGACAACCTGTCCTGGTACAACAACGACCGCTGGATCGGTGAGGGCGGGACCGGGGAAACCACAGGGAAAATGGGGGGGAAATTGGGGAAAACTGGGAAAAATCACAGGGGAAAAGGGGAAATGCAGAAAACTGAGGAGGGATTGGGCAAATGGGGGGGGGGGGGGCAAGACTGGGGGCCCCCCCCGCCCTCCCTGATGGCGCCGCCGGTCCCGCAGGGGGTTCCCCACCCGCCGACTACACCAAGGTCATCACCACCTTCCGCTTCCTCTCCCAGAAGCTTTTCATCTCCGTGTCTGTCCTGGCGTCCCTGGGAATCGTCCTGGCTGTTGTCTGCCTCGCCTTCAACATCTACAACGGCCACGTCAGGTCGGCGGGAGGGCCGGGACTCCCCCCCTGTCCTGGAATTTGGGGACACTCCCCCTGTCCCGGGATTTGGGGATACCCCCCCGTCCTGGGATTTGGGGACACCCCTCCGTCCCAGGATTTGGGGACATGCCCCTGTCCCAGGATTTGGGGACATCCCCCCGTCCCGGGATTTGGGGGCGGTCGCGCCCGGATGCGGCGCGGTGACAACTTGCTGGAGGAGAGGAACAGAGGAATGGGGGAAAGTGGGGAAAAAACGGAAAAATTGGGAAAAACATCTCAACAACCTGTTGCTGGAGATGAGAAATGGGGGAAAATGGGGAAAACCCTGTAGAAAAATAGGGAAAACCCAGGAAAAATGAGTTGGAGATCCCCAGTGGAATGTCCTGGCCCTTTCCCTGTAGGTACATCCAGAATTCCCAGCCCTACCTGAACAACATGACAGCTGTGGGCTGCACCCTGGCGCTCGCCGCCGTGTTCCCGCTGGGATTGGACGGATACCACATCGGCCCCGGGATGTTCCCCTTCGTCTGCCAGGTCTGGGACAGCCAGAGATGGGAACAGGTGGAGGAGGAACAGCTGGAAACACAGCCAGGGATGGGAACAACCAGGGATGGGAACAGCTGGAAACACAGCCAGGGATGGGAACAACCAGAGATGGGAACAGCTGGAAACAACCAGGGAATGGGGACAAACAGGGGCGGGAACAGCTGGAGGAAGAACAGTCGGAGACACAGCCGGGGGGTTACACCCATTTTAGGGGTTTACACCCATTTTGGGATGGTTTAGTCCCATTTTGGGGGTTTTACACTCCTTTCAGGGATTTTACACCCATTTTGGGGAGATTTACACCCCTTTTGGGGGGGTCCCGTCTCTGGGGGTAGTCCAGGCATCCTGGGAAGTCCCAACTGGAAGCACAACTGTCCTTTTCAGGCCCGGCTTTGGCTCTTGGGCCTGGGCTTTAGCCTGGCCTACGGCAGCATGTTCACCAAGATCTGGTGGGTCCACACCGTCTTCACCAAGAAGGAGGAGAAGAAGGAGAAGAGGAAGGTGAGGGGGGACACTGGGGGGGGGTCTCAGGGGGTCCCTGGTGACCTGGCCTCATCCCCAAATCCCCAAATCCCAGACTTTGGAGCCCTGGAAACTCTATGCCACTGTGGGGCTGCTGGTGGGGCTGGACGTGGTGACCTTGGTCGTGTGGCAGATCGTGGACCCCCTGCACCGAACCATCGAGGTGGGGAAGGGGGGTCCTGGGGGGTTTCTGGGGGGTCCCCAAAAAAAATCAGGATTCTGGGAAGTCCCCTGTCCTTGGAATTGGGGCTCTGGGGGTTGTTTTGGGGGGTCTTTGGGGGAGTTTTAGGGGTGTGTGGGCTGTTTTGGGGGCTCTGGGTGTTCATTCCGATGCCTCCCCAAAAATTCAGGAATCTGGGAACTTCCCTGTCCTTGGAATTGGGGTTTTGGGGGGGGTTGGGGGTCTTCAAGCCATCCAAGGCCTTGGGGGGCTCCTCTTGATATTCAAGGTGTTGGGGGCATCTCCTTGACACTGGGGGAGCTTTAGGTGGGTCCCCACAGCTCCCACTCCCTCACCACCCCCTCTGTGCCCAATTCCCACCCCAAATTACCAGGAATTCACCAAGGAGGAGCCCAAGACAGACCTGGATGTGTCCATCCTGCCCCAGCTCGAGCACTGCAGCTCCACCAAGATGAACACGTGGCTGGGTGGGGTTTTGGGGGGTCCGGGGGGGG